GCAGCCGGCTGGCGTGTTTATTTGTTGTTTACTGGCGTTTGGATTCACTGCGGATTCTTCTCAAGATCTTCTAAAGATTGTGACCATCAAAGAAATTCACCACTATCACCACATTATCATCACCACCACCAGCAGAGATGGCTAAGCGGAAGCCAGCAGTAGTCGCGCCGAGGAGAACATCACCGCGAAAGGCGACGGTAAATAGCAGCAGATATTTTGTGTTGTGATTTTGACTCTCATTTTTACTTTCTAATTAGGCCCAAAAAGTACCATCACCATCACCATCACCTTCAGTTGACGACGACAATGACGATGAAAATGATATAGTTGAGGAGGACATTGAAGAGGAGGATGAGGAGGAAGACGAAGTGAGCAGTGGAAGCTTCGAGTTTGACGATGAAGAGGACGATGGTGATGATGAGGAAGAAGAGGAGGAAGATGAAGAGGAAGAGGAAGAGGATGACAGCGACCAGGACGAAGAAGAAAAAGAGGCGCAGACGCGACCAGACATCACCAAAAAGGTCCTTTTCAAAGACGAGGAAGTTCAAGAAGGTGAAGAAGAAGGTGATGATGATGATGATGATGATCAACAACAACAAATTGAAGAGGACAATGAGGATGAGGACGAGGACGACGACGAGTCCATCAACCACAGCGACATGCTGAAGAAGCTGCTGAAGAACTCAAAGTACGCCGACCTGGCGGACGGCAGCTCTGAAAGTGGAAAGTTCAAGTGGCAGGCAAAGCGGACCGGCGTCGGCCAGGAGGTCTCCGAGCTGGCGATGGCCAAGGACGCCAAGTCGAGGGTAACCTAAAAAGCTCCCAAATAAAAAATTCCAAAACTAACCAATTTCTATTTTCCCATCTCCACAGCTCCGCCTCTCCACACTGCTCAAGGTGAGCAAAAACTCCGAGGCGAAGCGAAAGATGCGCAACTTCGAGGAGAAGGCGGTGATGGAGGCGCCGCTGAAGAAGCCACTCGCTCAAAAGGCGGCTCGACGCGTCAACTTCGAGGCCGTCAGCGCGGAGATCACCAAATACGATCCTATTGTGCGGGAGNAACTCCGAGGCGAAGCGAAAGATGCGCAACTTCGAGGAGAAGGCGGTGATGGAGGCGCCGCTGAAGAAGCCCCTGGCGCAGAAGGCGGCTCGCCGCGTCAACTTTGAAGCGGTCAGCCAGGAAATCACCAAATACGATCCTATTGTGCGGGAGCTGCGATCCGCCGAGCAGGTCATCTTTCCGCGAAACGAGGACGGCGATGGCAGTCGACTTCGTCTGACCGTTGCAGGCCAATTTGGAAGCTCTTCAGCCGCCGAGGTTCAAGACGAGCATCAAAAGCCAAACAAAGCGAAAAAGCTTTCCAGCCTCGAGCAGGAGATCACCGCGCAGCTGGTGCTGAATGAGGAGAACGTCGAGTTGGATGCTCGGGTAAGCCTTTTTATCATCATTTTCGAAAATAATGTCAAAATCATAACAAAACTTTCNGGGTAAGGCTTTTTGTTTCAATTTCAAAAATAATGTCAAACTCATAACAAAACTTTTTTTCTATTTTAGCCCTTAACCGAAAACGAACTCGCCATCCTCCGCTCAAAGTCCGTCGAGGAGGCTCGGGCCCTGCACCGGGAGATCCAACGCCGCCGCCTGCTGACCAGCTACCAGGAGGCAAAGTTCAGGCGACTGAGGCGGATCAAGTCGAAGAAGTACCACCGCATTCTGAAGAAGGAGAAGCTGAAGGCGACGGTGGCCGAGCTGGATCAGCTGATTGAAAATGGGGAGGAGGGCGTCGAGGAGAAGCTGGCGGAGTTGGACCGGCTGAGGGCGCTGGAGCGGGCCTCACTGAAGCACCACGCGACGGGGAAGTGGGCGAAGTACAGTAAACTGAGGTCAAAGTACGATGACACGGCCCGGGCCCAGCTGAACGATCAGATGGCCCTCAATGCGGAGCTGATGAAGCGGCGGTCGCTGGCGGTGTTGGACGAGTTTGNGGATGAGTTTGGAGGCGGTAAAAAAGTTGGGGGTGATGAGGATGAGGGTGACGAAGATGTGGAGAGACTGGTTATGGGAGGAGGAGGTGGTGGAAGTTCGAAGAAGGTCGCTGAAAGTGAAGCTGAAAACGAACTCCCGCTCTCCATTCCCACCGACTACAATCCCTGGATCAGCAAGGTCCCCAAGGTTCAGGTCCTGTCCACAAATGCTGTTTTACAGGTAAAAGTTGGAGGAAGTT